TTGTAAGTATTAGCAAGTACAAAACTATAAAGATATTATTACTTTGGGTCAAACGATAACGATTTATTACTTAACTACTGGTCTTTACAAACATGAAACAATAATTGTGTTTTAAATTTTAATCAATGCCTCGCAACCGCAATAACCTGTGAGACGAACACCTAAAAACCTCAAACCACTCAACTTTGAGCAGCTATGACTTGTTAACGGTTAATGAAAACTAATAATTATAACGTTAAAATTCATAAAAAAAAAAAATAGTTCTATAATTATATGACATTTAAAATATAGGTTGCCATTTGAAAATCAAAAGTTCATAGTGGTTTCACTATTAAATATAATCGTGGAAAAAATAAAAATTTTAATAATTTTAGAAAAACATAAAACTAAGCATTTTGAAGAAAAAAAATTGAAAAAGGTCGACACATTTTAAAATAACGAGTGTTCAATGATAAAAAAATCACTCTATATTTATAATATAAATACATTTTTAGATGCCAATTAATGTTTAAACCTCATTAAATATCATAATATTTTTATTATAATTTGTCATGACTTGTTTATATATTATAATATCTGCCAAGTATATCGTGTCTTACCAGGCCGTACAAACTAAAAAGTGTGCGTTTTACAATTTACACAATAGATCGTATTCAAAGTGATCGTCCACCAACATAGTGTAATATAAGTTAGCCTTTAAGACTTTATACGATAATGATTATTAGGTATTAAAAAATTCTCAATCATTATTTATTTTACTACTTATAATATAATAATTATAAAGTAGTTTTCTAATGACGACGTTTAAACGAAATATTATTTATATAAAAATACATACTTTTTATCGTTTATTTTTATTTCTTCGAAGATTATACTTTGTATTGTATGCGTTGTATGTTTTTAAACCTGTTGCGTTTCAAATCGTATCAATATTCATCTCTGGAAATGGTTTAAGACTATTACTATTTACTTTTTAGAAAAGCGAGATATATACATTCAAACATGGCACATGCGTCTTGTTTATTTCTTTAGTTGACTAAGTGTTTAATAAGTGTTAAAGAGCAGAGCAGCAGAGTTTTCCATTCAATTATAAAATAATATTTGGATACTTTTTTTTTCGTCTGGTTCAAAAATGGACGCTTTGGGTGATAAGCAATTTAGAAATCCGGTTCAGTGTATCACGCATTCATGCTTGAGCACCGTCAATGAATCTATGACGGAAGTTATTGATAATTATTAGGACGTTTTATCAATAGTTTTTTTAAACGTGCATGGACAAATTACCAATGACTATTAAAATTCTCAAGTCGTTGACACAGTTTGTACGATTATGCATACGTATTTTGTACCTATATAGGTATATTATTAAATTATAGCGTATGTTTGTGAAAAAACCTATAATAATCAATAATCAATAATAATAATTAATAAATATGGGTACCTAATCGCATACGACAAACCTGCGATGTTTTATCGTTACTACTATGTTATAATGTTATATGTTTTTCGACAAATAAATAAGTGATATCATCGAATTCAATAAACAAATTTAAATATAAGTATTGCCATAAGCCATTCTATAAGAATCCTAGGAATTTTATAGATTTTCTAGGCACAATTTAAAATAATATTAAAATTTAATACATTGCCAAATAGTATTCGCAAAGGATTCTAACCTAAAATACCAAAATATATATCCATAGAAATATAGAATAGTTATATTCATCACTTATATAGGTACCATGTACATCGAAAATTAATTATCTGGATATTCTTTCGAGTAGTTCTACTTATTGTATTACATTGCTTTCAAATTAAATATCACAGTACTATAATACTTTTTATAAAACGTAATAATCACAATTCTGCACAGCACAATATCACTAGATAGATACCTAATATATGTGTTATGTCTCGTACTCTAACATACTAGTGACGATTGTGAACGACAATGAGAAAGTACACTATTTAACACTCTATCTGTATTTCCTGTACGGGTTTTGTTTTGTTTAAAGAACAAAATATTTTGTCAACAAAAACACTTTTATCCCGTACACCCTAATGTCCTTTATACACAAGCGGATAGTAAGTATAGGTAAGCATGTAACGATGATTATACATCTGCTGTAGCATACAATATAATTCAACCGTTATTGTATCTTTCTCTCACACTTTTTTATTATCATTGAAACAACAATTATAATCGTTATAACCAATAATATTATTATATACATTATACATATATTATATATATAAAAAAAAAATTTTATGATAACGATTCTAAACTAAACAAAACGTTTTAAATGTAGGTATAGATATACTACTTAAAATTATTACAAATATGATCTATATATTATATAATATATATAATGTAAAACACTTCAAGTCGTTTTGTCTCAAGCGTCAATGCCTTTGGGGGATATTCAGGATATAGTAATTAAATATTTAGTAAATAATGACTAGAATACAAACGGCGGAGGTTCCACCACACTTCAATTACCGCAATACGAATACAATATATAGTATAAGAACATATTAATTGTAAATGCCGCGTGTTAATGTAAAAATGCAAAATAATAATAATAATAACAATAATGATGATGATAATAATAATAATAATAATCATAATGATAATAATTGAATAATGATAAAATTACAGGTGTAAACTTAGACACGTAAATAATAAAAACAAAATACAATAGTACAACAATAATTAACAAATAAAATTAGGTTATTTTGTTAGTCCAAAAGGAAAATTTATCAATTACGATAATACAAAATATATATAATATCATATTTTATATCAATAAATAAACTATACGTAGTAAAGAAGTTAATATTATAATAATTATAATCTATAGGTAATAATGTATAGACAGATAGATGATAACGAATGGTGGTATATACATGTAGAGCAACTCCGTATAGACTGTACACCTTTAAGTGGGTAAGCTATCGAAGGGATCAATGATGATCATATCGTTACCAATGTAACCAATTGTCTATATAAGAGGCATCAATCATTATTGTAACAACGCGATAGAATTATAATATGGGTTTATTTGGGATAAATAAATAAAATATAATATTTGTGTGTGTGTATATAAACATATAAGTAAGTACTTATATAAATATACACATACATATAATATATATATATATTTAAATGGGCATAAACTTCGATAAAAAATAAGTTAACATACGTTTTAATTATTGATTGTCAATAAAATTAATAATAATATTCCGTCGCCACGGTGGTGGTAACCAGCAGTCTCTACTATATTTAACACATAATACAATTTTACAATTTACACATTTATATTGTTATATATTAACACATTTGCGTAGGTGCACAAAGACAATTATAATTTGTTTAGATACATACTATAATAATTTTATAATAAACTTTTTACTAACGACAGACGGTCTTATATGTGGTGTGTATAAAACAAAACATAATCATGTTTATTATGATTATGATTAATTTATATTTAATTTATTCGTGTACTCAACTTATTAAACTATTTAAAAACCGTCTGTAAAAACATACATCTCTAATATCGATTTAAATACATATATGTATATATATATATATTTATATTATTATTATCATTATACTAAGATTATATTTCTACGATAATTTGTTACTGAAAATCTATTATGATTCATAATAATACATTTTTATTGATATATTAACATTTAAACTCTTAGATGGGAGGCATTTGACTTCTTGGCAGACTACAAGAAACGACGACGGTTAAGAATGCCAAATCAACATAATATTATTTTATTTCAGACACAAATTAAGAAATATTCACGTCGTTAAATATATTATGTCATTAGTCATTACAACGGTGACATTGACCAAAAATCATAACAACAATATACGATTATAATAATAATAATAATAATAATAAATGGCACGTACGTAATATTTTTTTACGCTGCGTTGATAAACGAACAATAATATAATCATAACTGTAAATAAAAGCGATAGATCATAATATAATAGGTAACATTAAAATATTTTATACAAAAAGATATGAAATACATCGACAGTAGCTATCATAAATTAATAAGTAGTAATATGATGGTCGATGATCGAAATTCGAAATATACGTAATAATAATATTATGTTGTTCACAGGTATTCGCAAAGGTATGCCTTTAGTAACAGAAAATGTTTTGTATAGATTGTCAACGTGTGTTTAGAAATAATTTGACAGTTTTTCAATAGAAGTATTAGCAGATGAAAACAAAAAATGGTTTTAATACCTACAATAATCCAGTTGGATGTCGTACGCGAAACGACACATTTTTAAGACGTTGATGATAATTTTTGAGTATGTACTAATATAAATGGAGTATTGACCGATATAAAAAGAAATTTTTCAAAACAGACCATCGTTGAACTCTTTCTACGCCAATTATGGTTTAGATCAAATCGAGTGGGTGTTTAAATCGTCATCACGCGTTTGCAGAGGTGTGTGCGAATATTATATTACATGATAATCATGACATGTATATTAAACAATCAGTTAGACATAAGTAAATTATTTATTTTCACATTATTGCCTTTGTAGGTGTATGATATGTGAGAGTCTATGTGTGTGTGTGTGTATGCGAGTGAAAGAACTAAAAACAGTATGTAAATTAATTAATTTTTGTCTTTTGGATAACTGTGAACTTGATTCGATATTTTGTGTGAGAACAATATTTTAATAGGTACACCACAAATTAACGATATACCACTAATTATAAGATTTGACACGGAATTGAAAAACCGTCGTTAATCGATAAAAATGAAAAATCGTAAAGATTAGGTCATTGAGATGTATAATTATATATGCGTCATCACTCTATAATAATGTCCGCTGTAGATACATCGATGCGTCTCATATAATATAATCATCACATAAAATTTGTATCATAAGCCGCGCTCGAGCAGGACATTTATAGGAGACGAAGGCGAGGTCGACGACGATAGCAGGGGGGCGAGTCTCAAGATGATTGTTTGTAATTGATCGGCCCGTAATTGTACATCGTCCGGTAGTCCACGTCGGCATACTCCATGTCGCCATCTTCCGCGTAACCGCTGGCCGCCGGCGGTTTGTAGGGCTAAAAATATACGATACACGACACACGTTATTTCATTGCAATATTGTATGCGCCTACGCTATATGATACTTTTACAAAATTCAATACGGATGAGCGCCGAGCAATCATTATGCCGACGTGCATGGTTTTGGCGTGGAGGTGGGCACGAGGCCGAGTGGGTCACCACACTACAACGGTTAAATATAGCATTACGGCTGATATACGGTCATCGTTCGGCGGACGGCCAGTACACACAGTTGAGGGTAGGGGTGAGGGGGCGGGCGTACGTACGCAGTGTATGCTTGAGCGCGACGACGATTACAATCGTTCCCAACAAGTTAATAAAATTAAAATTAGCCACGATTTGTAGTGTGTTGGTATAGAAACGAACCGGCAATAATATATTATACGGAAGACACCACGTATTAAATATGATATCACGCTGTTGCGGGAGGAGAACTTTCGGACCGGCGACTTCAGGCTGACCGGCGCGACATCTCGTGATATGCGATCTGCACCACAATATTACAACAATATCGGCCTGACGGAAACAATATGTAGACCGACGACAGTAGAACAACACAAATAAGCGGCGATAGATAGAAACGTGCCAACTACGAGTACTCAAGGCAGATGCGTTGTATTGCACGACACGACCGACGACGCGGTGTCTACGTCAATTTCTGCGGCCAACGTCGTGGAACACCACGTTCTTGTTGACGCCGCCGCCGCCGTTCGCCGGCACCTGCTGCTGCTGCTGCTGTGGTACTGTTGCGTGCGCCACCGCCGCGGCGGTCGCCGGCCGTCGATTGTCCGGCGCACGTCACTTTTCTGTCGCACGGTGGTGCAGATCCAATTCGGCCGCGGTGCGGCCGCGACATCCGGCCTGTCGGACAACGGCTGCGGCGACGGCGGGTCGATCGTCGCCGACGTCCGCCGCGTAGTCGGTAGCGGCCGCAGGCTGCAGCCCAGTCCGCGTCGTCGTCGGTTCGACGGCCACCCGCCGCCGCCGACGCCCGCCCGGCGCCGGCGGTTCGCACGGCGCCACGACCGCGCCAGCCGTGGCGAGTGTTCGTGGAAAACGTTTCCGGCGGACGCCCCCCGCCGCAGTACGACGGCCGTTGCTGCGACTGCCGCAGCTTGGACTGTTGCTGTCGCGTGTCCATGCTGGCGTACACGTCTGCGGCGTAGTATCCGACGCCGGACACGGTGTTGTAATTGCTGGTGATGCCGGTCGACTGGGCGGCCGGTCCGTCGGCGTTGCTGCGTCTTCTGTTGCCGTGCGGTTGCTGTTGGCTGTGGTGGTGGAGGTACTGTTGCAGGTGTTGGCTGCTGCCGCCGCCGGTGTAGTAGTGATCGGTCAACGGACCTCCGCCGTCTAAGATTTGCTGGTTGCCGCGGCGACGTCTTCCCACGGTACCGCCGGCGATCATCGACTTGCAGATCTTGTCGCCGTCGCCACCGATCCCGTCGCCGCGGTTGACGACGTCGTCGTCGTCGTCGTCGTCTACCAAGTACCGGCCGACCGCGTTTTGCAGCTGTTGGTGTTTCTGAGACTTTTGGTACACGTCTTCCCGACCCGAGCCGGCGGTCATCTCGAACTGCGTCATTTCGATGGACTGTTGCTGTTGCTGTTGGTGTTGCTGCTGCTGCTGTTGTTGTTGTTGTTGCTGACGATGGTGAACGACGCCGCCGCCGACGGTCGAGTATCCGGACGTGAGGGCTGTCGCAGTCGCATCGTCCGCGGTCACCCGGTGGTACAACAGTTGGTGCTGTTGCTGTATTTGCATGCGGTAAAACTCGTCCAAGCTCCGAGCTCCTATCCCGACTCCAGTTAACTGTTAATCACACACACACGCACGCACACACCCAATCGCGTTGTTAGTAAATTTTTTCATGTTAGTGTCGTTTCGCAAGCATTTTATAAAAATCAAAATAAAAAATATACTACAAATTAGATACAAATATATTATCATTGTTCTAATAATACGGACACGGGTGGTAGAAGCGGGGCCGATATGGGAGAGGGCGAGTGGACGCGACTATACTAAATCTACCGGCCGGTGGGGTCCACCGATATGGGTACATACCTTGTTGCTGCCGATCACGCTACCGTCATTGCCATTCAATAGCTGCTGCAGGTTCTCGTAAGTGTCGCGGCGGGACAACGACGGCGGCGCCACAGAGGCGGACGGCACGCGCGTCCTGGGCGCCGGTTTGGGAAACGTCGATGCGGAAAACGCGTCTTTCCGTTTGTCGCCACGGTCCACGGTCACCACCGACGCTTTCGTCTTGTCGTCGCCTGCGACGCCGCTGTCGTTGTTGTTATCGTCTTGGTGCCCTCGCCGATCGTCGCGGACGGTCGACCGACCGATCGTCGGTTTGGCGACGACCGGCTTATCGCTATCGCCCGTGCCCACGGTTCTCATCGACCGGAACTGCCGATCGCGTCGCTGCCACGCGGTCGCGGTCGGGTCGTGGTTCGGCCTTTTCAACGAGTTGAACCGAACGGCGGCCGTCGGACGTCCGCCGCCGACGACCGCGTCCGGCTCGGGAACCGCGGACCGGCGCAACAGTGACACGTATCCGCCGTTCGGTGACCGGTGGATTAACGACGGCGACGGCGACAGCGACGCGTCCGCTGGCGGCAAGGGCAACGGCGGCTTGCTGATGGCGCGGCCGACCGCGTTTCCGGTACCGTTGCTTACTGTAGGCGGTTGAAGCGCAGACGACTGAGTTTTAATCGACGAACAGGCGCGGATGATTGGCAGGGGTTAAATCATAATATTGACAACGCATACACGGAACAAAACAAAAAAACAAAAACAAAACAAATAAAAACAAAGCGAAAACGACAAAAAATTAAGTGCATGCTCGATCTATATAGATATAAGTTTATGAGATAATGAAGCGTGTTGTGTAATATTACATTATTATAAAACTCAAAACGAAATAAAATAATAATAATATAATATGCTGTTACTGTTAAACCGATGATGACTAACCTGATTGGGCGGTGGTCGCATTCCATGGAATGGCAAGTTCTCGTAGAACGCGGCTTTCGATTCACCCGCCGCTCCCAAGTTGGATTCGTTGTCCTGTTGTTGACCGGCTCCGCCCCGTGAATCTAAACAGTAAATAACGGAAAATCAATTATTTAAATACGATCACATTGTTATATGTAATGTGTGTAGCTTGTCTAACTCTGCACTGATGTTAAGAATTCAGTATGTTTTGGCGTAATACCTAATAGTTACGATGTTATACGTTATATTATTTGTCCGAGGGCGAGGTGTTATTTCTCGAGGACATAATATATGTATCTTTGACACGACTGAGGATTTGTGCACTGTTGCAAGAGGTTTTTTGTTATATCAATAAAAATAAAAGTCTGGTTAAAGTCTTAAATATAGTTTAAGAAATTTTTATTAGTATATACCTTTTACTAAATGGTTTAAAGTTAATAACTTATGAGTAATGAATATATGCTGTTTGCGTTCACTTGTGTTGAAATAGTCAAACTAACTTCATGTTATAATTTTAATAATACATGATAATTTAGAAAAATTGTCATGATTACATATTATAATATTCCTGTTAATTCTATAAAATACACTATAGTGTGTGTTTAATGTTTATTGATTTATATAAAGGTTTAATACTTTAATAAATGTCGAAACATTTTAATTAATAGTGTTTAAATACTTAAAATGATAGTTACAAAACTTTTTTCAAACACTTTTACTGTCGAGAATTTAGTAATATGTACCATAGGTGTATATAAGTCCAATAAGATATTGGTTTATATATCGAAAACTAAAATTGTTATTATCAGGTATTTCATTGTGCTTTTGGTAATAATTTTGTGAACCGTGAAATTAAATTCCAGTCGGATAGGTATAGGTAAAAGATCATGTTGTGTGCTACGAGTATTTTTATTTACTTATTTTTCAAGAATGACTATCTAAATGGAATTAAATTATTACTTAATACACTATATAATTATGTATATTATATTATGATAACTTATGAATTTTGAACAAAACATTATGGTTATAATTTATACAATTATTTAGCAATGAATTATTCATAAAATATAATGTGGTTATTTTATACTAGTACGAGTATAATGAGTATATATAAATTGAAATTGAAATATTTTATTTTTTTGCATAAAAAAAGTATTTTAAATATAAATACAAAGTGTACTTGAGTAGTGATTTTAGTATAAAAGTGTTCAAAGTAAATCCATCCTCTGATGTTTTATACACTATAAAAATTGCGAGTTTGATGTGTTAAGTCTTTAATTCCATAAACCTTTTGTCTGGACGAGTTGATTATTATGTTAAGTATTTTAATGCATACAATGACTAAATAATACTTGCATGCTTGTTGTCGGTAAATACATTTATAAGTATCCACCGGTAGCTCGTATCGATTATTAAAAAACAAAATTACATACATCACACAAATATTTTAAAAACAACATCTACATTTTACATATAACATATAACATATAACACACTATAAAACTTAATGAATATACACCAACATTTTAGCATCTATTTCATCTGTAAACAAAAAGCATAACGTTCAAAGTTGATTTTTCTAATTTTTCAGAATAGAAACGAAAAACAGAAATGTGAATTGTTAACCTTTAAAACATGTAAATTCTACTTTTATAAGATTTATTCTTTTTCATTTGTTTCATTTTAATAATCAATAATGTAACAAAACGGGACTTACTTCAAATGTAAAAAAATATTTACGAAATTATGTTACAAACAAAAATACGTGGAATATATTTTAAGAACGATAGTTGTCGAAATCCTCATTTCTCATAAAAATTGAACTTGCGTCTTTATAATGCACAATTTTATTTTTATACTGTTGCATTGAGAAATCCTACTGTTTTTTAATCGAGTCCCTCTTATACGCATATTTTATTCACGAAAAACTATTTCCTTAAAGACAAATCGGCCGTCGATCGTTACCGATCTCGTACAATACCTACATAATGTATATAATTATTCTACTATTAATATTTCCAATATGGTTTTAAACCCCGTGTGTTATCGTATACGCAGTAGTTTTTCTACCTGTCGTAGAAGGATATCTGCCCGCGCCGGTGTCCGAGCTCTGTCGGACAGGTGGCGCGGGAGGAGGTGACGTGGGTGACGGTTTTTTTGGCACCAAATTATTATTAGATCCGATCATCATGCGACGTATGCGAGCTGCGCGTGCCGATTGCGTCTCGTTGGCCAACATCATGGACTCAATCGCCGGCGGTTTTCCTTTACCAGTATGGTTTTTTTTCGACTTATGTTTATCACTACCTCCGTCAGCAATGGTTTTGTTTGTGGATCCGTCCCCACTGCCGCTGTCCGCGGTGTCGCCAGTTGTCGGTTGACAGTGAGCAATAGCCGACTGCGACTTGAGCAGTTGCTGTTTTGAATGGACCAACACACCCGGCTTGAGCGGCCATTTTCCGACGACGCTCGTGGCGGAAACGGTCCGCTGACTGGAAAACGATTGCGAATGATCGTCGTCATATCCGGGCGGGGGCTTAGGGTTGCTTGGAACATTCGCCGGTTGATCTGTGCACTGCTGTGCAGCCGCTGGATTGGCACCGGAAATCGATGACGTGGCACTCCCTTCGGGACTATAATAGTAATCGTTACAAGGCCGTTCGACAGGGTTGTGTTATCTTATATCTTTTAGCGAGGTTTAAGAAAACCAGTAGCTGATTGTAGCGTGTTTGCGATAGAACAATTTTGTATAATGTAAATGTATAATAGTAAAGATTTCTCCCCAAGCAAACAAGTCACAGCGATAAATAAGAAGAGTAAAACAAAAATAGCCGTCGTAGATAAAAAATAAAAATAATAATAAAAAATAAATTTCAGAAAAAATGCGTACAGAATAATAAGTATATGTACCATCACCACTATCACCATTATCAAATACGTCCCGAAACAGGAAAAACAATAATTATGAGAGAAGTGCATTTGAGTGCTAGCGCGCGTACCAATAATAATAATGGTCAACGGTCATTGCTCGTAACCGTACAATACTCACTTTTGTCGCACTTTCGATATGTTTAATAGCAAGCCACGGCCTCGGTGCCGGCGCCAAACGACTGGTACCCTATACGCCGTCAGTGTAGGGTATTTTTGTTTAACATCTAAATTTTGAAAACAAAAACGGAACACACAATAAAAGCTGTACCTACTAAAACGATAAGTCACAAATACATAAAATATGTCTACTACGTAAAATAATACAGACAGAACATTACGCACTAATATAACATTACTAACACTATAATAATTATAATGTCACTACATCCGCACAGTATGCATTATTAGTTGGTATGCATTTTTTATATGTTCACATGCCGTTCTCAAAGTATTTTATTATCGGTTTATAACATTTTAATAATGTTATAATGACGTATATACATATTATCGTATACGTTTTGTTGAACGTGTATGAAACTTACATTTCTGACGTCCTCCCGACACTCCGTTGCCCGGTTTAATGTAACGGTTCTTACAAACGAACAGCAACAGGATAACAATGACAATGATGACGATAAGTAGCAAAATCACAACCAAGGCCACCAAGACGACCATCACTGGTAACCCACCCAAACCTATGGCTGCCAACAACTGTTTCCACCACGGAGCGTCACCTGTTACATACACGCGTACAAGTAAATTAATTTTATCTACATTTTCGATGTCAACAATAATAATATGTGAAAATATAAAAATAATGAAAATATATATAATTATATTATGAATTATTATCACCTATATTCTACTATCAATATACTATAATAGTTTAAGAGATATAGACACTTACTTTCCCTGACAGCTAATAAAAATAAAAATAAATTAAAACATTACTATAAATAATAAATAAATTAATCAAAATTTTAACTTTCAGGTGCATGATATAATAATTCATAAATTATGTTAAATGCGTTAAAAATATCAACACGATGACATGACATTGATCATGCGTAAATGTTTATTATATAAATTATCTTATTAACTTAGATTTTTACTTCACGTCAAATCTGTCTCCAAAACTACATATTTATGAAATCTATTATAAGTATTTTAAATTCTCTTATATCATAAAATTCTCCGAGTTAAAATTGGACTGTTCGTAAAAGATCCGTACTCTAAACTAAATAACAAATTCATCAATTATCTATAGATTCTCTAATGGATTAAAGTATTCAACACAAGTTCTTATAATATGTTGCTTACATGTCCCTTCTCCTACGCTTGATCTTAAATCTATTCGTAAGGTTTTTAATTTATCCAACCTCACTAATCGAAGACATATTGCGAATAATATTAATTTTTATAAAACTTTTGTCTAATTCAATTGATTATCTTTCCCTCTACTCACAAATAACTTTTAAAGTTCCACATCATCATACTAAAGTGAACTAAACACGTTCCTCACTGCTTTATTCCATTTTTTTCGTTGAATTATTTATGTACTCGTAACTCTTCCTCTCTATCAGTATTCAGTGTATATGTCTTGCTATGCTAATTAAGACCATACCTATCTCTAATAATGTATAAAATTTTCAATAACTAAAACTACTGATATTTTACTAAGTCTTTATTTTATATTATGAAATCTACTTAATTATTGTAAATATCAAATGGTGTATTAGAATTCAATGTTTTTAAGCCCTGACGTGTATTATTATAAAATAAATTAAATATAAATAAAAATTGAATCAATAAATAATAAAGACTTATTTTTAAATAAATAGAAATATTTTAAAATACTTTTAGAAAGTAACTTATGATTTTTATTGTTATTATTAAAAGGAATTTATAGTTTTTTTATTTTAATATTGATTTAAATTATACATATTTATATTAAAATGCGTCCATTTTCAACTATTTTTATTTTTAAATACCATATATATATATATATTATATTACTACTTAGATTTGCACCTGATAAGTTAAATTAGTTATTAATTGTTTAATGATTAATGAAAAGCATTTATTACCTTGAACTTGAATGCTACACCGGTCTGTTCCTACAGTGTTGTTTACAGTACATACATATGTCCTGACACCTTCTGATGCACCGTTGTTTGGTATATTGTCGGTGCCCCTTCCTTCGTCATCCTCGTTGTTGCTCACTTCTAGTCTATCTTGTAATATTAATATGCTTCGGTTATAACTTCCCATATTATCCATTTCGTTTGATCCGCTGTTGCCTGATGATCCCATTGATACGGTGATGACTCTCTCAGTAGCAGGAGAATCAGATGTCAAAGATGTTGACGTATCATTCTGGCGACCTGAGTTTCTTATGGTCCACGTATATTGTACCTGGCCTGGATTTGCAGTAGCTGTACACACCAGTATTCTTTTTTCACCAGATGATGAAGACAAAAATTCCTCTAATTCCGAAGATTGATCTGTCAAACTAGCTGATGATTCCTGTTTTAATTGATCAACGGTTATCATCCTAAGCTGACAGCTAGGCTTATCTATAAAAACAATTTTAATAATCGATTTAGAAGCGAAACAGAAAAGTTTCTAATTTGATATATGAATATGTCATCAATATTTATTTAAATATATATATATATATATATATATATTTATATTTGTGTCATCATACGTAACAACTTTATATCATATCACTAATATTCATTAAAAATAAATTATTAATTAATTGAAAATGTTTATATTAAATTATTGACATTTAATTTTCATTTATACATAAATATATTAATGAATATCGAACAAATGTATTAAACATATGTTTATTTTTTCATTATATAAACTATTATTAATAGAATAAACTTCGTGAATAAAATATTTAAGCTAATCTGAACTTTGCGATTGGCACCTACCTAATACAGGAATAACAACAAATATATTTTACACATACCATTTTTAATACTATATCATAAAAATAATGTATATTTATATATTTTAAATTAAATATTAATACTACAGAAATTTTAATTTTCAAAATGAAACATGAACACTTTTACAATGTGATAACAGTGATTCACACACTAATAATAGCTAAACTAATTTATCTCTGCATTGAAATAATAACTGTGGTGGATTTTGGAATAAGTTTCAATAAGCTACCAGGTACATGTTTACAGAGGTCACAGGTTAAGAAGTCTAAAAAGTGAAATATCGATAATGCTAGAGATTAGAGATGATAGAACGTCATAACAACAATAAATTTAATATGTATATTTTTACAACTTACCACTGGTGTATGCCATTAGAAAAAAACTAAGCACCCCATAATTTTCTTAGTGGTTTTATTTTTAAATTTTCTAGTAACAAATTATTCATTTATAATACGGAAATTAAAATATTGAGTTATTATTTATTTTTAATTATTTGTATACAATTTTAAAAATGACTAAGTTCTTCAAAAATGTTGTCTTTGGTTGTGTCTATGATTATAACTTTCGTATCTCAATATTATATTATTTTGATACGTCTTTTAATATGCTTAAGTGATTTCACTCACACATAACGTCCAGATAAGTGTATGCAGTTTCGTTTCCATGTGTGTTGCGAGCCACGCAGGCATAATAACCAGATTGTTGCCTACTCACAGCTGAGTTCAACACCAACTGTTGGTTATTAATTTGACCACCACTGCTTCCGGAGCCACCGCTGACACCGCTGTTTCCAGTATTGACGATCGAAGAGAGTCTTTGCTGCGAAGACGATTGGGTCGACTGGGACGAATTTCCTTGCATGTTCCAATTGTTCGTGTTGGCGATGTAACGCCACTCGAAAGTGGGCTGAGGGCGGCCCTCGGCGTGGCAAAACACTTTTTCTGGTATGTTACCTTCGCTGACATGCACAACCGTTTTGGAGACAGTCATATTACCAGGAGGATCTAAAATTTAGATACGGAGATTATTAATACTTCATCAACATGCATGCGACCTTAAATGCTCAGCTTACATTCAACAGAGAAATTCATTATCGATTCTGATACCGGTGGACCGACTTCATTGCCACTGCTCCGGCAACTGTATTCCGTGGAATCTGTTATGGGATCCAAACCGCGACCGCCTGGCCAGTTATCCATGCGCCATATCAACGTGCTGCGCACCGCTTCGAAATCGTTTTTCAACCGTTCCGCTGGTAAATATTCCGTCAGTATTGAATATCTGCAATAATAGTCATCCAATTTAAAAAATATATATGCATATTTTTCTCGACTAAGTTCTTTAAAATAAAAGTAAAGATTCAAATCTTATGTAACTACACAATATTTAGCAAAATACTATTTTTTTTTTAAGCATACATAAATTATAAAATGTAAGATTTTTATACCTCTCTTTGTCCATAGGATTGTTTATTGGATCGATAAGGACACCACGGCGTAACCAGTTCACGGAGCAATGAGGATAACATTCAACAGTGCATGATGCATTCACGTGTGTTGCATTAAATGCAACTCCTAAGTATTGTGGAGGCCCAGTGATGTAATTTGGTGGAGCTACAAATAATAAAAATATTTAATGTATAATTTATTTTTGTTTGGATGATTTTATCCATCAAATATTTTAGTTATCTTACCGAAAACTTCAATGTATACGGGCTCGGAATATGTGACACCGCCTTCGTTGTAAGCGGAACAGGTGAAATTAGCACGAGTTTCTAATGAAACATGATCGACAAACCATTCAGGGTTGAAATTTCCTCCGCCATTATTTCCATTAGCGCCAATACTAATTCCGGTTCCAGAATTTATGCTAGGGTTTATTCCTTGATTTTGGTGGTAAAATGGATGTCCGTCGCGAAACCATGAGTAACGAGTAGGATGTTGTGGCCGACCAAGATATTGAGCATTGCATCGCAAGGTTACGTTCCTTCCTTTTATGACCCGTCGTGGACTAAACTCCAATGTCACCGGTCCCGGAGCAACTATTCAATTTAAAAACATTTATTTATTATAAAAAAAATAAAATATGATATATATATATATTAAAATTTTAACATCTACGTCATAATATCATTGTCGGTTACAATAAAAATATATTAACTATTCATTAAGTGATTACAATTAAGATATAATATACCTAATATTTTAATTCATTATTTTTAATAATTTAATCGACAAAATTAATATTTTACATTCTCGAGATAATACCCATTATGTTAATTTGTATGACAATTTATAAATAAAATATCATTATTTAAATGTTTTTATTAATTTATAAAAATTATACTAAAATATAGTTAAGAATTTTGTGAATTTGATTTAAATCGTTATTTATGATGTATCAAGATTCTACTGTAAGAAAAAATTAATTAGATTATTAAAATGCAGCTTTTTTTATGTGATATTAAATTGGAACATTTTTTAAATAAATATTAGTAAATGTATAAGTATAGAATAAAAATTTAAGTAAGCTTACAATATACGATAAGTGGTGTCTGATCAGACATCGGAGTAAGAAGACCAGCAGCATTCCGCGCTCGACATGAATAATTTCCATGAATATTTTTCGTCACATTAACTAAAATAAGTTCTCTATCAGTGCACACCACTTTCTTTTGCTTTTTATTGCGTCTCCTTGTGTCATTATCAACAGCATATGAGTCATATTCTCCCACTCCATGTGGTTCACTAGTTTCATAGTTAAAGTTCATGGCATTATTTTCATCATTATTATCTGTATCGAAATCGTTCTCTCCATCTTCTTCTTCTACAAAAATATCACTACTATCCGGTGATCTAGTACAGTTTGGTAACTGCATTTGTACGCCGTTCCAATACCAATGAACAGATGTTAAGTTCAAAGACGGATCGCTGTTGATATCTTCAATATTTTGCTGATCTTCTTCTAATTGTACAGCACATCGGAGTGTAACGTTGCGATGTTCCGATTCTAATACAATTGGATTTGATCCAACCATATTATTGTTGATACTGCTACTCACTGTTGATGAAGTTTGATTTTCGTCGAGTGAATCGTCTAAGATAACGTGCAATTTTACCTTAGGTGTATCTGTAATGAATGTAACAAATTAAAATATTACAATATTTATTTAATTTTAAAAACTCAAAAGCAAATATTTTATATTATATTATCATACGTACATTGAACACGAACGTTTGCAAAATTTGTAGAATTGGCTGCTCCAACTGAATTTCTTACTCGACATTCATAACGTCCTGAGTCGGAACGTGTTAACTTCCTAACCACTAATACAGTTGCGTCTTCACCATTACCATCTCCATGAATGCCTCCATTTCCATTGACCGATCCTTTAACTCGAGCATATTTTGCGATATTTCCCATAGAGTTCGAGCGAAATCTAGAATTAGCACCGTTTGACGACCCTGATACCGTACCCGTGCCTGTAGCTGGTGTAACTGCTGCATATGACGATGCTGATGATCCGTAATTTGGCGAAGATGATTCGTCTTCGTCAACTAATTGTAACTCAATGCCATCTCGATACCTATAAAAATTCCATAATTTAGTTAAGTTATTAGCAAATTTTATTTTCCTCTTCGTGGGATATTGCCTTTTTTATAAATAAATATTTACCATTTAACAGGAGTTCGGAGTTTATCCGGATTAGCGTGGTATGCACAGAGCAGCCTTAATTCTTTGGTTTCATTAACCACCACAGTATATAGAGTTGTTTGATAGTATGATCCGTCATAAGTGTCTTTGGATGCATCAATTATTATTGGGTTGATATTATTGCCATTATCAACTCCTCCTTTACGTTGTTGACCTATATCGTTTTTTATTTCATCCTCTACAATTGCACCAGAATTTTCTCCGTCAGTGATGGGTACTACCCAAGCAGTTGGTACATCTGAAAATAGAAATTTAATTGTTTAAACGTTTTCCAAAACGACAGAATCGAATAAAGTTCTATTAGATTTACTTACATTTTACTCGGATTGTCATGTTTACAGTGAGAGGTTGATTCGGTGATGAACCGACGTTATTGAATGCGTCACACCGCAAAATGGAACCGTCTTGTTGGCGATGAAGTTGTGACATTGATAATTGGCTGTGTGTATCTCGAGTACCATCAGCCTGTAGAGAAATTTCCCCAATAAGTATTCTTATTTACAGTAGCTTAAGTAATTACGTTGAAATATTGAAGAAAATTTAAAATAAAAATTATACTAATTATGTTTTTATTTTCTCTAATTTTTACATGTTTCTTACTTGATACTCAGTATGCTGCGCTATTTCTACAGGACCTATAATTTCTGCTCCACCTTCCATACGTCGCTGTTCCGATATCAAATAATCACTGGGAGACCTAGCTGTAGAACCTCCGTTTTGCTGGCTGTTTCCTAACATAACGGGTGCGCCGTGCTTCGACGATTGAGCGGTAGGTGCATGAATATTTTGTTCATTTCTTATTCCATTTCCGTAATCATTGTCGTCATCATTTTCTTGATCCTTATAATAATAATACCACGTCACGTTCGCTTGAGGACGGGCTCCACGTGCCGCGCACCGAATTACTAACGGTTGGCCCTCTGTAGTTTCAGCATAAACTACTTCTTCGGAATTTCTATCATGTTCGCTATTTTGAGACTTATTACGATCGTCGACTTTAGAAACCGTAGTTACTGTGGTGCCTGATGATGATGTGGACATTTCAACTGAATATGGACTTACTGAAAAATGTATGTAAAAATATTATATATTATGTATTTTCATCGTCGTCTAAGGAATACTAAATTATAATATTATCATTTATCCTAATGGTTTACTCTTTATTTTAAGTATAATATTCTTACCGTTTACAGTGACTTCGACATTAGATGTTAGAATTGGTGACGAATCAGTTGCTGTTTTTACTCTACATTCATATCTACCGTTTGCACCCCTTTTCCCGACAACAGTGAGAACGCTTTGTGCAACCCATAATCCTGAGTACGAGAAAACGTCATCGGACATATCAGAATCCACTTTACGGTATTGATAATCAACTGAAAACGACAAGGGTTTTTACTTAATTATATAATATCGGTATAAAAAATATTATCATTTTATTCAAATTTAATAGAAATAATTAATTTTTACAAGTGTTGAATTAAAATATATTACCTAAATCACTATCATAAATTGGACCACGACTATGTTGCCACCATGTAACTTGGGGTATAGGCCTAGCACGGCCTGCACGACATACCAGACGTATTTTACTTCCTTCATCCACTGGGCCCACGATTGTACCAGATGTTAACTTTTTCATTAAACCAAATTTTGGATCGCTATTTTTATCATCATAAAAATCTGATGAAGGATCGATGTAATTGTGCGCCGAAAGATCACTAGGTTCAACCAATGTACCAACACTGATAGATTCAGGGTCAGCTATAAAAAAAAAAAAATTAAAATTAATAACATCAATAATTCTAAACATTTTTAATTAATTTATAATTCACTATTAATTGAATATCAAAAATGTTTGATAAGCTTAAAATTTATAGCATTAAATTAAATATTATTTTTTATTCATATTCTTTTATAATTCGATATATGTATTCGCTTTCTTTTTAATTAAGTAACGTACAATTTGTATAGTTAATTTAAAAAATGTAATGACATTTTTAATGGTGACCATATAATTATACTTTTATGGGTAAACTTAAGTATAAGACTAATCAAATTAATATTGTAAAGTAGGTATATTATAGTATATACTATAATATTTATCTTTATAAAAATAAAGTATATTATTAATAGTTAATATTTACCAATTAAAATTAAAATTATTCAAAAAGAAAATTTGTTTTCAAGTTTTTAATCAAACGGTAGTGCATTGCATGTATTTTTTAAACTCAAATACGGATATTAAAAACTTCAGTAAATCAAAACCAATTATTTATACCATTAAACAGTTTTAACAACTTTTTTCAGATATTACTAACACAAAAAATAATTCATAAAGTAAAGTGTTTCTTTGCTCACTATTTGAAATAAAAGCGAACAAATTAAAGTAAAAATACACACATTAACCTTTTAAAGTTCTTTTATTAAGTTCTAAGAATCTTCTTCAACAATTTTTTTTAATATGAGCCACGCTAAAAACAATTAACGCATATTTGATTCATTGTATTTTAAGAATCTTTTTTATCATCTACACTACTAAAAAGAGAAAAACATTTTAATTGACCTACTTCCGTAGTAATATAAAAGCACTATAGATTTTACCTAATCAAACACTTAATTCAATCTTATACATTTTGAAACAATGAACGAAATTTCTTAAATTTACTACTTTATTTTTAAAGTTCAGTAAAACACCTAATCAGTGTGAAATTTTTGTACAGACCATAGTTCAACCATGCACAATATGAAAATTTAATAAAAATGGGTCAGAATAACTCAAGTACGTGTAAACTATGTGTCACTGACAGGCAAACACAATATTTTAGTAGTGGGATAAGGGTTAATTTAGTGTTGTATATGATATATATTCAATTTGAAAGATGTATTGGCTTGATTATAAACAGTTTATTTAAAAAAATAAGTATTTCATTATTTTTTTATTGGAAAAGTGATGAAAAGTTAAAAAATCAACTCCAAACTTATTATTAATATAGTACGATATAGTATTGTATTACTGCACAATTATACAATAATTTCTTATAATATTGATAAATAATATATCAATTTTAAATACAATATCCGAGATTCAATAATCACTTATAATTAGTTTTGTAAATGTATTGCAATATATTACCAAGAATATAAACTTAAACTCCCATAATAATATAAAAATAGGGGTAAAGTAGGTAACCACTCTGCTAAACATAGGATCAAGTGTAGGTACCACCTTGTCATTGAGTAGGTACTTCAATGGACGTGCAAAATTTTAATTCAATAATTAATCAATTATAGCACACGTAAAACGATTCTGTACGGAGATAATTTTACTATAGTAATTTATTTTATAATTAGTAATAAAGTATAAATATTCAATACCTTAAAATTAATTTAAATGTTTTAAAAATCGTGTACAGTAAAATATGATGATAAAAGTGAAAATTTCAAATCCTCATAAATATTATTTTTAAATTAAGTTCAACCAAACAACTATAATTGTTATTCTTTGTTTAAATATTCGATTTTGTCAATATTTGAATTTAAAATATTTATCTAACTAAATTGTACTTGTGTATTTTTAGAGTTTTAGGAATAAAAAATACTTATCAGAAACTGTTTAATAAGTTTTGAGCCTTAACTATTAAAATTGAAAATCATGTACATTTTTAATTACAAATTCATTTTTAAACTTTCAGTCAAAATTTTAGTTTTAGTTAAATTTTTGTCAAAATTAAAATTTTAAAATAAATTGTGCATAATATGTATTTTTAAAATAATTAATTTTCTAGAAGAAAAATTTGTATAGAATTTCATATTAAATTTTTCAAGCATTTTGACTACGTCTAAATATTTTTATAAACATTTTTGAAAAAAAATTCAAAATTTTTATCAATAGCCTAAATATTTTATTAAATATATAAAATATTAATTAATAATAGAATGTTCCAAGTTTCTACGATTGATACTTTATAAATTCCATTTAAAAACTACAATCGTAAAATTGTAAAATATCCTAATTCTACAAAAAAAAAAAAGAATAATAAAATTTATCGAAATTTAAATTTCAAACACTTATGAAAAATATATGTAGAATAACTTCTTTTATACTTCTAATAAACCTAACGGCTAACATACACGGGACTTTATATTGCTTTTTTTAATCTTATTATAGGTATAAATAGTAAATATTTAATACATTTTTAGCTACAGAATAATTTGCAAATTTAAAAATGTTAACTTCAAATGCTCATACATGGATAGATATTAAAAATTTATGAAAAACTTTGTACTATATTTACAAAATTTTTGAGCTAAATATAAATATTATCAGAAAAAATCTCAAATACCTATAAATAGCTTAAAAAAATTAAGAAAATTATACCAAACAAAGTAAGTTCTAATTTAGATATTTGGTTGAAATGTGTCTACGTTATTTGTTTTTTTAATGAAAACATATTATTAATATTATATTAATATAAAAATATATATTTTTCCTATATTTTTTTTAGTTTTTTGCTTTAATTAATAATCAAAATAATAATTATAAATATCATTTCTTGCTTTCAATCTCAAAAGTCAACTAGATTTAATTGCTTACCAGAAATGATATTAAAATTAAAGATTGAACAATTTAACATTAAAAGATGATGACAAACACTATATAAACATTCATTGCTATGCACAAAATTTTAAAATAAAAAATGTTTACATAAATTAATTGCTTAAAATTTCTGTATGACATCCATTTAACAGTTTATAAGACAAAATGATAAAATAAACTAATAATAATAAATTGAATATATGTGTATTTATATACATTATACCTACATCACAATTTTATATTAATAATAAATGCAATTTATCTATACTAAACGACAATAAGTGCATAGAAGTTAAAATACAATATTTATCTTTTATAATTTTTACAGAACTATAAAGGTATTAATTGATAATATTGAAATACTATATGATATCATTAAATCAAATTAAATATTTATGTTTTCATAAAAGTAAAAGGTAATACATGTTTAAAACAAAAATTTTAAACTTCTTTCATAAAATCCACATATTATATTACTAACAAATTATTATAAGCTTCACCTTTTTATAGTATTTTAAGTACATCATTACTTTATACATATTCATATTAGTGAATCAGATTTTTTTTTTTGTATGATAACGATTAACGATAGCTTAGTAGGTATACAAAAAATATATTATAATTAAGTATTAAATAATAACAACCTAATCAATCAACGCAATATTAGGTAAAATAATATGATAAGTTATTATAAAACGAGGAAACAATAATTATATAATTTTATATTTATGTGTTGATAAATGTATATCTGTTAAATATTTTATTATTAAATTCTAAGATATGAGTATTTTTATTTTTTTAAATTTTTAAAATAAAATCATTACTGTCATTGAATATTGTGTTTAATTCAGTTTCTTAATATTTATATTTAAAACGTATTGTTTTAATAAAATTAATTAATTGGTCTTATATTATTCAGACTTACTGTAAGTTGTAAGATTGATAAACTGAACGATGTTGCAACCTTCGTGTACTTTAGTATACGTGATCTCACATTTATAAACACCCTCGTCAAGCGCTGTTATATTGTCCATTACTAAGAAGCCCAACGTAGTATTTGGTTCCGTACTCCAATACGATCTGTTAAAAAAAAAAATAAATCATTATTAACTAAATTTTAAAATTCTGTTTACATGTACATAACTAATGAACCATATCGCTTACAAAATTATAAATGTACACATTTTGCATAAAGATTTACATAGTGATTTAAGTACTGAGGAAATAATATATGACATGTACCTTTTTTTATTGAAGTGAGATTTTTTTTTTTAATACATTCATATTAATGTTGTACACATATATTATATTTTATGCATACCTGCGTATAAATTATAGTTACATCGTAATCCCTTACCATGTGGAAATATATATATTCCTTTAACTGAACAAAAAGTAAGTTCAGACCCTCATTATACAAATTAAATTATAAAAAACCCGGACAGGATACGTAGACCGGACATTCGTTTCGCCTGCATGATGTAAGAGGGTGGCATATTATTAACTAAGCGTGCGTTTCAAAGTAATGATAAATCGTAGCATTCAAAAAATCGATTTGTAGTAGAAGTCGATTAAAAACGAGCTTTTTGAGAGTTCTTTTATATTCTTAAACTAAGGTTGTCAGTTGCAGTTTTTCTTTTCGTTTATACGGAAACTGCTAAGAATTGAAAAATTACCTCTCCTTAAGAAGCTATCAACTAAACTAGATTTCTTATTGGTACACTTGAAACTAGTGCTTTTTCATTGGCTAATGCCCAAATGAGTGCTTACAATATATAGTACATACTACATATATATATAAACATAGATAATCTAAAACCTATTTTAATTTCTTTGTAAAGGTATTATAAATTATGATGTATAATAAATTATGTACACATTATGTGCAATAATTATTTATATAAAAAATAAAAAATGAAGATACATTTATGCTAAACTTTTAGTCAATAGCCACTTATAATTACTATTACATCATACTATATTTTATAATCATATTTTTAAGCAATTATTTATTATAAAAATACATTTAGTAGGAATTATACAAACGAATAATTGTTGAATAATGGATGTCATAATCTTAACTACCTACTAAAAGTATACTTTTGGTTGAACGTAGAAAACAATTTAAAATAAACATGAAACTTATTGTAATCAAGATATCCAACATTTTCTTGTGCTTTAAAACTTTAATAATTTAACTCTTTAGTTAATGAAACTGTTTAGTTTTTACTATAATTTAATGAAACAAAATGTTTAATCCATGAAAAAGGCACTTATATTTTATTTTTTAATCTGATATTTTAGATGTGTATATTTAATGTGTATTAATAATATTTTAATTTAATAGTTGAGAATAAATTAGTAGTTATTAAAAAAAAAAATATATTAAAATTATATCTAACTTATTCCACTTGAACGAAACATATATGGCGCAGATTGAACCATAATATCAAGAATATTTTTAGAATTTCTTGGCTTCTATATTTTCTTATCGTAAGAATAAAATGCTTATAATGATTTGGCATGGTGAAAAAAAAATGGTGTTAATCTTGTATTTTATCGAGTATTTTTAAGACTGACAAATATTTAATTATATCCATTCCAAGTATAAAACATGTATTTTGTTACCTATTTGTTCATGATTACATACATTTAAGTTATTTAAGATTAATAATATTCTTTTGAAGGAAGTTTATATAGTATCTAGCTAATTTGTTTTGAGACTAATAGCTTATGTTTTTAAAACCTTTAAATGTTTATATTAAAATACAATGTACCACTATCACATCAACGTCACGCACTCATGCATAAAAGTAAGTGAACCAAACACATTCCATATCCTTATTTTGTTCATTTATTTTATAAATTATTATTATAATGTACAATAGAAATAAAATAGCCATATGCAAAAAAAAAAAATAATAAAAATAGTATCTAGTAATAAGAAAAAAATAGAGAATAAAACATTCTATAGTTAGTTATACATTTGGTGATACCGTAAAAAATATCCTTAAAATTGTTCACGTTAATAAAAGCAAATTTTCATTCATCAATCAATGATTTCCATTTCATTAAAATGATCGATATAATATACCGATTTTTTTTTAATTTTCCTTGAGTTTTTAAGTGACGTGAATTCGGCTTTGTCTTAAAACATTAGGCATGAAAAGAAATATATAAAAAAAATGCTTTCACAAAATTTTCTTTTCCCCATAATATGAAAACATTTTTTCGTATTATGGTGCAATTTTATGTTAAACTTTGAATGTGCAAGAATGGTAATTTTAACATGAGTTTTTTTTGAATTGCTTGAATATTCAAGATGGCGTTGATAACTTTTTAAAAAGCTACCTCCTACTACCCAGATTGCATCTATTATAACTTGGCAGTATAACATCGTATAATTAGTTGTTAACAAAACGTGTTTCAGAATAAAAACGGTAAATGAAAAGAAAATGTAATTTTAATAATGCAACTATTCTTAAATAATATAAACATACAGTATATGATTTATAAATGAATACTAGTGAATAACTAATTACCTATTTAAACTAAGACAAATGATTATTTTTGAAGATTTTAAAATAATTAAAGAACTGAACATCTCATATTTATAATTCTTTTAGACCAATATTTAAACCAATAATTACACGATTTTAAATGTCAAATATACGCATCATAAGTTTGTTAATCATTTTTCTAGGTTACGATAGAATCAATATTTATTTAATATAAATAAAAATCTTACAAATATGAAATGATTTAATTAAGTCTATAAAATCTTTTGTTTCACAAAAAAAAATTAAAATTAAAAACTTTGTTAGTTTTTTTTTGGTAACGTAACAAATATTAATAAATTTATGCATTTATCTATTTAAAAAAATCTTAGTTGAACTACTTGTGAACTGTGGTAATATATGTTCCTATTTTAGTAGTTGTATACCATAATAAAATAAATTCCAAACTTTAAATTCTATAGGTATCTTGTACTTGCTCATATGTTAGAAACTGTTCTTGGCAGTTAGCGTGCTCGTATTAGTTTAATTACTTCGTTTATATTATAAATTGTAATATAGTTGAATAATAATCTACGAATTATACATTTTTATATGTAAATTTTTAGACAAGTAATATAATCATTTATTATTAAGAATTATATAGAGTAAACATTTTATAAAAGTAATTTTATGTATTGATATACACGTTAAATGATCAGTCTTAGAGACTTTAAGTTATTTAATAATCGATTATAAATATATATATATATATATATATATATAAGTTATATGATTATAATTTTAATATATTAATTTACTTTTTGCACTTATACCACCTATCATCAGATAATGAATTTTCTGTTATATGCCTAGCTATATCTACTTTTTACAAAAACAAACTGCTTCGTCAACCTCTATATAAGTTCTATTTTATTTTTTTTTCATTCATTTTGGTACCAATATATTAAAACCTTGTAATAATTATATTTAAAGTTTGGTATTAATTTTTTTTTTTTTTGTGGAAGTGAATTGTTATAGGTTATTAAATTATTTTTTAAATTGTCATTTATTTTTTTCTTTTATATTCTGAAGAAAATTTAATATCTGAAAATATTGATAAAGTTATAATTTAAAAGCGTTTAAGTTTTAAAATTTACATAAGTGCACCAATAATTTTTCGAGCGAGATAAGCTTCAAAATTTATTAATCTTATTATAATATTAATTTAATTAACTGTGTTCAATAATTGATATAACAAAATTTTCAGCAAAATATTTCAACGTACCTATAGAAGACGTGTGTTGTGAGCTATAGATTTATTATGACATAAGATTCAATTTAAACATGGAAAACTTAACTCTTCTTAAAATTTAAATTTATTTAAATGTACAGGTTTTCAATGAAGCCTAAATCACAAAAAACTTATTAAATTTTAGTTTAAAACAATTAACTTTCAAAGAAAGAACCGCATAATTTTCAGGATTGAGTTAAATAGATATTTTTTAAACTACACTAAAAGAACAATTTTGTCTCATAATAATAAAATTCTAGTTATAAGAAGTACACTAAAATATTTATACGACATTTTTTTAAACAAAATTCATGCGCAATTCACCCTTTAGCAACCTGTATTCCTATGTGAATTTAAAAACGAAGATAAGTAGTTTTTGAGTTTATAGAGGACAAAAAAAAAACATTTATTTGAATATATATGTATTGTATATATATATATTATTATAAAATTATTACCCTAACAAAACAAATTTTATAAAATAAACTAAAAGCTATCAGTACATCACAATCAAATTATTTCATTTTACTAAGTTAATTATTTCATCATTACCTAACTTTAGTAAACTACAGTTTAATGTAAATTTGAATATAACTAAATATATTTTTTACAAACTAAAAGTATCTTTTTCAGTAATTATATATATCTATTAAGTTAGTTAAAAGTTGAAATTAAAATGTTTTTAATATTTAGGGTAAATTGAGCTATAAATATTAAAAATATCAATAAATTAAATGTTATATATTCACATATATTAAGTATTTTATTTTTTATCCAAAACTACCTTGGATAAAAATATATAAAATAACATTAATTTACTTGAATAGATAAATAGATTACACTAATATATTCCTATAAGTGTTTTGAATACTATACAGACAACTTATTAAAAGCATTTTAAAAATAATAAAGTTAGTAACGTCATCAATTGTTGCAACACTATAGTCGTTTAATATGTAATAAATACATTTTAAACTGCTTGAAATGTTTATTTTTATTAAATTTAAATACATATTAAATAATTCTATCAACAAATATATGTTCACTCTTATGATAAAACAAAAGCTTATTAAATAATAAATACTATAATAATACTATGATTTTAAATAATTAAAAATTAGTACCTTAATCTTTTGAATAAATACAATTATTTAGAATCCATAATTAAACTGGTTTTAATATTTTAATAGCTTATGAAATACACGAAAACACCTAATCATAGTTAAAAACTAGAAAAAATAATTTGAAAATAAATAAATACTTGATATGTGATAAGTGATTAGGTACATAAA